ATATATATATATATATATATGGTATAGTTAAATTAAAACACCATATAGTAGATATCTACTACTGTATAGTATTTTAATTGTGTGTGTTCTATTTACTATATCACTGTTATCTTAGGTTAAGAACGCATACATTTGGGTAGATACATAAGAAACACTATCTGAAAAACACTTTAAGAAAATAGGTAAATAGGTTTATTATAAATTATTTTCTGTTGAGCTTAATTTTTTCAATGCCGCAATGAGTTTGCAATAGTGTCATATAACGCTATATATTATAACGTGGCGCGTCAGTCTAATCTGCGAGTTATTATGTGTACAGTCGACCCCCCTATAATTACGGTCCCTATAATTACGATTCCTATAAAACTACGAAAAAATATACGTATTTTGGAAATGTTGAGTCGGATTAGTGTAGAATCGANTGTATAGTTGTGATGTGTTGTATAGTTTCTGGCATGATGTCATTTGTGAGTGTTGTATCTTTGAGTATGTGTTTTCTGTAGTTTTTAGTATTTATGACCTGATCCTGTATAGCAATCATGAATCCTTCCGTCTCCCCAAAGAGGCATCCCCGATCTAACCAGCTGTTTGACGCAGTTTTGTCAACATAATCCTGGGCCAGGTCATAAGGATGTCTGCCATGGAGTGCCTTTTGAGCCCACGATTGCTTGATGGTGTCTATGCTTTTTATGTGTTGTGTCATGTCTGTGTGTTGTGAGTGTAAGTTTAATGGTGTGCTATTTGAATCTGCTAGAGTTACTGCTTTATGTAATTGTGATGTTTCTTGTTTCCTGTAGAAAAACTCTTGAAGTGACTGTATTTGTTTGTAGTGAAGGTTAACTATGTCAATCAGGCCACGTCCGCCATCTTTACGTGGAAGGGTTAATCTTTCTGTGGCGGATTTAGAATGATGTTGTTTATGCTTAGTAAGTGTTGTTCTTGTTTTCCTTTGGAGTTGCTCGAGATCTGTGTGAGTCCAATGTATAACTCCAAAAGAGTATGTGAGTACTGGGATGACGTATGTGTTTTTTGCCTTAACTGTGTGTTTTGCATTTAGCTGTGTTTTGAGAATGGCATTTAACCTACTTTGGTATTCTTTAATTAATGTTTGCTTTATTTGTGTATGTTTTGTTAGTTTGGCTTGTTGGAATCCTAAATACTTGTAGAACTCGCCCTCTTCCATGGATTCAATAACGTCACCATTTCCAAGTACAAAATCTTCTTTCTTCAGGATTCCTTTTTCTATGTGAAGTTTTTTGCATTTGTCTAAGCCAAACTCTATTTGTATGTCCTTAGTGTATGAGTTTGTGATTTGTAGGAGTTGATGAAGTTGTTTCTGTGATGATGCATAAAGTTTTATGTCGTCCATGTACATGAGATGTGACAGCGTAAACTGTGTTGTTTTTTAATGTCTGATGTTGTAGTCATATTGCGTGTTGTTTAACATGTTGGATAATGAGTTCAGGGTTAGGCAGAACCAGAGAGGACTTAAGGAATCTCCTTGAAAAATTCCTCGCCTAATGAATATCTCATTTTTTTGTATGGAAGTGTTACTAACCCTTAGATGCAATGTTGTTCTCCAGTGCTGCATAGTGTTTTGGAAGAATGTAATGAGTGATGGATGTATTTTGTACATGTGTAGAATATGTAGCAGCCAACTGTGTGGAACTCTGTCAAATGCTTTTCTGTAGTTTATATATGCCATGTGTATGTTTCTGTGTTGTTTGTGTGCTTGCCGTAGAATGACTGAATCTATGAGTAACTGTTCTTTGCATCCCCTGTGATTTCTACGGCAACCTTTTTGTTGTTCTGTAAGAATGTCGTGTTCTTCAACATGTTTGTATATTTTGTTTGTGATACAGGATGTCAATAATTTGTAGAGTGTTGGAAGACATGTAATTGGTCTGTATTGTGTGGGGTCTGTGGTTTTGTTGTTTTTAGGTTTCATGTAGGTAATGCCCCGAGTAAGAAATTTTGGCATGTCTTGTGGATTGATGATGATGTGTGTTAGATGTTTAGCTAGTTCCTGGTGCAGTGATGTAAACTTTTTGTACCAGAAATTGTGAATGTTGTCTACACCAGGTGTCTTCCAGTTGTGTGTTCTGTTAACAGCGTAGCGAATGTCGTGTATGTTTATTTCAGCACAGGGCATACTTGGTATGTTATGCAAGTTTCTGTTCTCCTCCTTGATCCAGCCTGCATCAGCATTGTGTGTAACAGCATTGGACCAAAGAGAAGACCAATAAGTTGTGAGTTCTTCTTCTGTTGGTGTGCCACTGTGCTGTGTATCAGTGTTTGTTTTGGTACTGATTTGTCTGTAGAAAAGTTTTTCATTGTTTGTGAATAATTTATTTTGTTGTTTTCGTAGTGTACATGTTTTGTATCGTTTGAGTCTACGTGCTTTGGCTGCGAGTTTTTGTTTTAGTGTATCGATGTATTCTGTAATGTGTGTGTTGTGATGTTCATGTTTTGTGTGTGTTTTGATTTTCTTGAAAATGTTTTTGAGTTGTTTCTTTAATTTGGGTGTTATGTTGTTTTTAGTGTATTGTGTCAGCCTGCCTAATTGCTGTCTAATGTCATTTATTTGTGTTTCTATTCTTCTCTGCCAGGCAGGCTTATGATAGAATTGTGTTTTGTGTGTGTCTGTCTGTGAGTGTATTTTCAGTCCATGGTGTGTTACTACTGTGACTGCCCCAGCATAAACTAATGTATGAATGTCTGTAAGTGTAGAAATTGAATGAATGTAGTTTGGTAGTAAGTGAGTGTTTACATAATCTAGTGTTTTTCCTACTGCCTTTGACGTGTTGATTTTTGGTATTCGTGGTCTTTGTGTGGGATCTGTACCAGTATATTTAATGAGTGTTTCCTGAAATATAAGTGAGAGCGTATTAACTAATTCTATGTCTACGTTATCAGTGATGGATGGGGAAGTGCCTGCAGTATCATTAGTGGTACTTGTTGTGTGTGTGCTGTAATCAGTGCTTGTTGCTGGATTATCCTGACAGGTTACGTGATCTTCATTAATGTTAAATGTTTCTGTCTGTTGATGTATTTGATCAGCAACCTGTTGTTTGATAAGTTCAAGTGTTGTTTGTGGGATAAGGTTGTTGTGTATAATTGTTCGTTTTTGATCAACAACCCTTTGTTCGGTGACAGTGAGGTGAGGATATTGTTGTGTGAATATGTGGTGTAGTTGTTGTCTGTATGCTGTCATGTTTGTTTCGAGTCTTGTGATGGTGTAGTAAGTGCGGATGATAAACTCGTTCATTTCTGTTGTCCATTTCATCCGTTGGCGTGGTTTTCCAGCCTTTGTGGTCTGTGGATGCATTGCCACAGAAACACCAAGGCTAGGTTGATTCCTCACATCTGTTGAGGGCATTGCAGTAGCCATACTTGGGCCAGCGCTGCTTTCGCCACCAGTAACCAAGGGAGAATGAGGCGTATTTTTCGAACGTGAGCCTCTGCCTAACCCACGAACGCGGACCTTGTTAAACCGGGCGACGTCCGAGCTGGTATCACACTTTGATCTGGTTACTACCATGATAATTATCTCCACGGAATGTGGGTGTGGTCACTCTTAGCTTCATTTCTCCCCATAGACCTTACTGGCATGGGTGTTCCTACCAGGAGCTCGTGCTCCAGCCTGCATTGCTCTATGGTTCAGTAAAATTACTGGGCTCTCCCACCACGATCAGGTGGTGTCCACGGGAGAGTTATTATTATTATTTGAACATTCTGTAACATGCCTAAGTAAATAGCCTAAAAAATTACTGTTTGCATTAACTATAAATTCATTACTCACATGACATACGCGACCATAATATTGTTTGGATAACATTAGCCCGTATTTTGGGAAGAATATTTAGGATAGTTAGAGGAAAGATAGGATTGAAGACGAAAACTTCCTTTCACTCACAGCCAATTATAGGTAGATTGTTATTATGTTTGCTAGGGAAAACTTACTGGACATTTTTTTTAATTAGTACAATTTTAAAATTTAGTACATATTTGAAATCAGAACACAATCTCTACAATTACTGGTCACTTTAACTATTTTAGAACTACTTCGAGAGTTGAGGAAAGCCTAACATAAAAGCTAAAAACTTATATGCACATTTACACTAAATAGATTTTCGTTCTGTGGAGAATATGCAATTTCAAAACGTTTATTATTTTTTAAACAAATCACGACATATTAAGTCGTTATTCTTTATTTCTTTCATTGTCCGATAACTATTCCACTTCTAGCTAATAATTTAGAACAAATTATTTACAATTTATAATTATGAGCAGAAAACACAAATAGGCCGATCATAAATATGAAAATGTATATTTTTTTTAAATGTTTAAGTAATTAGTCTAATTCTTAGATTGTAAAAAGTTTTATTTTCCAAAAAGAAACTTGTGGAGTTGGATCTTTCTTGGAATACGTGATTCAAATATAATCATTAATAAAAATTGAATACAATTACGTCAAAGAAAGCTTTCTTCTTTATTTTACTCTCTCCATCCTGTAGTGACTAAGATGGCGTTTTAAAAGCCCATCATGGTTAGACGGCAAGATGGCCGTGCGGTTAAGCTTTAATTTTATTCCGATCCTAGTCCCAACAAGTAGTTTAGCGTAAACAAGTAAAAACTTGAATTTACCTGAGTTTACTTTTTATAGGACGATGCGCGTTTGAATTTGTTAAATCTCATTTGCTCTAAACATATGTAAGAAAATCTGCCGCAATTTTTAACCTTAATAAGAAAAATTATATAAGTATACGGAAACCGCAGTTAAGGTCTAAAAGAGCCACAGTTTGGCCATCATAGATATATACTATAAACATATGTTTATGGTACATAATTTCAAAATTTATTAATTTACTTTTTATAAAAATAATTTGCTAAACATTTTACATCATCTTATTTTTTTTATTTAACAAACGTATATTCAGAATTATAATTTAAAATATTCTGAATATAAATTTATTCTGGTTTATTTTTCTTCAGAATAATTTAAATTTTATAAAATGTGTTAACATTCTCTTCTTAGAGAGACGTTATCATATTGTATATAAGTGATAATAAGAGCGGTATTTAAAATATAGTTTATATCTTCTTCCTACAAATTTCTACACTTTTCCTTTTGTATTTCGACTTTTAAAATAACTTCTCGCGGTCTGTTAAAACCTCTTCCAGGAAGGAAATCTACTTCATGCTGTAGAAAATTTTCAAATTTTACATAATTCCTGAAGTTTTTAAATATGAAAATATTTAAAATCTCTCTTACTTTCGTTCTACTTCCAGGTCTAAACTTCACGTAATATAAAATTTTTGCCAATGCTAATTTGATTTCCATAAATGCAAATTTCATTCCTATACAATTCCTAGGTCCAGCTCCGAATGGCATGTAAGTAAAAGGTTGAATGCATTTTCTATTTTCGCCAAAAAACCTAAAGGAAAGACTTTAGTGTTTTTGTTCAAAATATCTCATAAATTGTATTTACCTGTAAAGAACTTACCTTTCTGGATTATATTTATCTGGAAATTGAAAGTATTTTGGATCATGACTGATGGCGTATACGGGAACAGCAACAATAGTTCTCTTTGGCAAAGTGACTCCAGTGTTACCTAATCGGTACTCTTCCGTTGTTGTACGCTCCAATCTGATAACAAAATAATAATTTATTAAATGTCCTTTTAGGATTCCGTTCGTAAATAATAATTTAGCCTTTTAAATACCTTATCGCTGGTGAATAATATCGCAAAGTTTCGTGGATCACTGCTTCTAAGTATCTCATTTCATTGAGTGTATCGTAGTTTAAATCTCCCTGAAAATTATAAATTTAAAAAGTTTTGTATTTCAAAATGATTAAAAAATTAATCTTCTTTACAGATAACAAATATTCGACTATCAGAAACTTCAATTTATATGAGAAATACATATTTTCTTTTATGTCAAAGCAACAATTAAAGGAAACAAGCATTAATTTAGGGTGTGTAAATTATTAATTAATTAATAAATTCCAAGCAATAAAATACAATTATATGTAAGGTTTTAAAAAATTACTGAAATTTCAATTATCATCATCATCATCATTCATAAGTATCTACTAATCTACTATATGATTTGATATAAAACTTCTCTAATGATTTTTTTCTTTTTTAATCTCGTTTCTCAAATCTATCAGAAATTAAGAATTTTAAATTTTAATTCCTCTTGTTATATGTTTTAATTTAAACACCGCAATATGTTATTGCTGATCCGGTGGAGGAATATGCTAACACAGTATGTTGTTTCTACTTCGCTGGATCACGGGTTCGAATCCTGCTTTGGACATAGATACTTGTGTATGTCAGGTTTTAGTTAAATTAAATAGAACATATAATAGACTATGTTTTCATTTGCTTTTAATAAACAATAATAAATAAATTTTTAAAAATAATAATACAGTGAAACCTGTTCACTTTCAGCTAGTTCCTGCAAAATAATATATTTTTGCAACGGAGATATATCTGCGTACAGGGACCACTTGTCTATTGTGACCATTGACCACTTTGGCCATGTCCCAAGGTAAGAATTCATGCTGGGTAAAGTGAACATTTAAAAAGAAAATAAAGACAAAGCCATTTTAAAGAATGTAATTCAATTTATAGCGATTGCATTGCAAATATAAAATATTTGAAATCATTGTACTTTGTAGGTAAAGGTTTAAACTAAATTTCGTATAATCTTTTGAAATTTTAATTTGAGTATAAGAAACAGTAGTTTGAAAAACTTTAAATAGTCTGTATCATAAATTGAAAACACCACTAGCAACGCGCCATCATGGTGCAATTTTTAGAGCAGCATTGGAGGCAAATTTAAAAATTTCTATTATGATAGAGATCATGTCGGGTCACTATCGAGGTTTCCTTGTCAGTGTTTCGTAGTTTGGTTTTATTTAGTAAACTTGCTTCATGTGTTCTTTGTTGATTGTTAAGTTTTTTGTACGAATGTTTAATTAGAAGGCGAGATTAATTTTCTTTCTTTTTTCATTAACTCACTCACTGAATACAATTAACTTTTAGAATGGCAAAGAAAGGTACAAAGAGCTAAATCTTCAGCAGTAATGTGAACTGTTCCACTTTTTAGAAAGTCACAGCAAGAGGCGAACAGCTGAGGAGCTGAGTTAGTAAGAAAACCGTATCTGGATAGGTTTCAAATTGAGTCTGAAGATATGGACTGAAAGAAGAGGGCAACTGAATTTGATGAAGTAAACTTCTTAACTCTGAAGTGTTGTACTAAAATGAGGATATTAAACGGTTTATTGATTGTGATCGTGATGTTATTTATGACCACTGAATATGTTAATTTGGAAGATGTTTTTGGAAGTGTCCTAAAAGAGTTCAATAATGGGAAGAATGAAAGTAGTGAAGATAAATGAAATCTGTATCATAACAAATAAGAGAAGCCTTGCCTTTATCCCACAAGGAAATTTATGATATGCTGTAGAAAATAGCCTTTTGCTATGCGACTACTAGCTGTCCTGAGGTTTTTATGCCAATATATCAATCAAAGAAAACTGTAGCTTTACATCTCTTTCATAGAGCTACATTATCTGACAGAAGCTGTACTAAAACAGGCGGAATTTACCTGTTGACCTTTCTAATAAAGATTCATTGGTTTTTCAGTACGTTGACCTTTCTAATAAAGATTCATTGGTTTTTCAGTACTAAATTTATCCTTATTTGTAGATTCATTATTTTTTTTACCTCATTCTTTAAAATAAATTCTTGTTCTTTAATAATTCTTTCCTGTATGTGCGGTTTCACAGCTAACTGATGAATTGTAAATGCAAGAGTGGCTGACGTTGCAAAATAACCAGCAATGAAGAAATTTATACATTGTGCAACAATATCATCCAGTTCTAGTCCTATTTAAGAAATTTATACTCATATTAAAATATAAAAATTAATTATTAAAATGAATTTGTATAATTAGTGTACTTTAAAGCTTATTTATATTGAATATTAATTGCTAACTTGAATCAGTTTAACCTGAATCTAGATACAGATTAAAGTAAGATATTTGGGACAGTTCTACCTGTCATCTGAATNGTTATAAATATACTTACGTTTACTAATTTGTTTCTTTTATTAATTTCGTCTATAATAACGCTTTTGAAATATAAAATTAAAGATGGCTCAAAGTATGATAATTGAAAAAATTTTGCTATTTCAGGAAAACAATCTAAAAAGTAAATTAATTTTAAATATTTATTTGAAAAATATTTATACCATTAAAAAGTATTAATTTAAACTCATACTTTTTATTACATTTCTCCACGGGATAGGTTCCATTAGTTCATTTGCTGCTTTTACAAATCGATTATTTGGATCTTTTTTTGAATCTATTTTCAGACCAAATGCACATCTTGCTATTACGTCGATGGTAAATGCACTTAAACTTCTGAAATTACAAATATAACCAATCCTTGAACAGAACATTAAAAAAATCTAAGTATTCTCGCTCGTAGAGAATTATGTTTGTATTAATTCTACTGTAAGAATTTTTACAATATTTTATACTATTATTTTTTCAATTTTTTGAAGCGATCGTTGATTGCAAATTACGGACTTAATAAGTCGCTAGTATCATTGGATAAGAATGCTTTCCAATATCAGGTGAAGTTGAGATAGTTGTATAGTTGTATGTTAAAAAAAACAAGTATATTAAATTGAAATTTATTTATACAAGATTATTTTATTTTTGCGAGTAGTTATAGCTAATTTAATTTTTTCGAAAAATTCACAATATATTTATTTAAGTACGTATCTACCCACTTTACACAATAATAAAGGATAAATGTTCAAGATCATATTCAGACTCATATTTCTTGGGATTAATTTTAATATTACAGTCTTAGCTTTTTAATTGTGATGCGTATTTTTTAGATTTAAACTCTATTAAATATTAAATATATATATATTTTTTCTTCTAAACATTAATCAATATTTCATTATTTGTCGGTAAAAAGAAATGTAAAAAGTACTGTACGTGTGAAAACGATGTGATAAAATATAAAATTTGCGTTGTCGGCGATTTAAAAAAAAAAAAAAAAACGATACCTGAGGTGTAATTAGAATTTTTTAGTTGCAGATATTGTTTCATACTTTTATGATAAATTATGAGATAACATTGAGAAATATTTTCTATTGCTTTATTAAAATAATTTATTTCCTTGAAAATACAGTTGAATTGCATGGAATACACTATACATTTTGCCATGCACGATTGCAGGCAATTACTGCCTTTCAAATTACAGAAAATTTCGTAAATTTCCTAGAATCTCGATAAAGTGTCTCTGACGTTACTCTAACATTTCTGTGCTAAATGAGAGGTTTATGTTAAAATAAAAGGCAATTGTGCACTTTTACAAATTCCCTCTAGTTTGCAAGACAGTGTCTTTTGGAATTTAAACTCAAAAAGAATTAGTAACATTATATTTAAGATATACTGTACTTATTTTAGCATTTTAACTAATTTCGGAAAATGTATATACAGAAAAACACACGATCGAATTTCCTTTCTGAATTCCGTTGTGAGCAGAATTGCCAGATGCTCGGTTCTAGGGGATTGTCTCGGATTTCTTCTGCCTTGAGACAGGAGGATTTTAAACGTATTTGTATCACTGGCAGAGTAAATATACAATTTATTGCATGATCTGAAATTTAAACATCCCAGTATCTTTCAGGAGAACTTATTTGTCTCTCGTTTTATCCACAAATATCTGACAACTTTAATAGTGAGTGAAATTGGCCTTAAGTCGAACATACAAAATAGTAGTAAAAAAACAATATGGTTTCTTTCCAAGGCTGGCATAAGCCTGTACAATATGAGGTAGCACTTATGTGCATAATGTGTATTATAATCAGAGTCTGACTCGCTTTAGAGGCTTAATCCAGCACTGCATGCACAATATGTCTAAAATCAATAAATAAGGCTATACAGTAATAAACACAGTGAAACCCCTTTAAGAGACCATCCCATAAAGATAGCTTTTGCTCAGAACCATTGGTGACCTTGACGAGAGGAGTAAGGCGTTGTTGTAGTAAGAGGCCCAGACCCTTATAAGGAGTCCGAGACCCTATTTTTAAAAGTAGATTTATTTATTTTCTTTGCAAGGACACATTACTGTGGTATAGGAGAGAATATAGAAAAACCTTCCCCAAATAAAAATATTGGCAGGTCGTTTCCGATTGGGTCGTTGGGACGGGCAGGTGCAGAAATGAAGTTAGAGCCGAAGGGTACCGTGCCTCTGCCGTCTTTGCATGGCAAGAGTGGTCGCAAAGTAGGAGTTTTACTGAGTGAAACCCCTCCAAAGTGACCATTCTTCATAAAATCACTTTTGTTCTGAATCATTGGTAAATGCAAAGTAGGAGTTTCACTGTGTATACTCGTATCAGGAACACAAAATTCATAATTTGGTTAAATGTGTCTGTCTTATAATAATTAATTTGGGTGATTAATAGAATCTCTAGTATATGTCTCCATTCATTAATTCAGTTCAATATTCTTATGTAAAGAGAATTGTATGAGCGCATGTGTATATGTGTTTGCAAAGCAAATATTTACTGAGTTGATCACAAAAATTAAAGTTAATTGATCAACTTATTATTAACTGATCAACTATTATTAGTTAGAAATTTTAAGATCAGACAGGATTCATTTTAAACAAATTGTAGGTACTGTACAGTAGAGCCTCGATTATCCGACCCCCGATTAACCGACCGTTCTAGTCGGCAAATTTCAAATGTCCGCTAGTGATGTGGCGCTACAATATTTGGCTATGTCTTGGCTACTTTAATATTATTTTTACGTGTTTTATCTGGCAACATTCATTCGACCATGAAAGGGAGCCAGTATTTAAAGGAGGCTTAATTTTCTAATTTTTAACGATACAATAGCGACGATTATTATTTTAAAAAATTTTTGTTAGGCTTAACATCGATGAAAATTCAACGCGAAGTAGGTTAATAGCGATATACTAATATACTAATTACATGGGATATACTAATATACTATACTAATAATGTATTTTTCATACTTTTCAGTTATCCGACCAACCCCAGTCCACAGTTGAGTCGGATAATCGAGGCTCTACTGTAATGTTTTCTAAATGCGATAAAATTATCAATTGTGTTCAAAGGAAAATTTTAAATAAAAATATTCTTTATTGTTTTTTGATTCAAAATGCGTAATCCATTATATGAAATCTTTCCTCATGTAAGTAATTTCCGTGTATCCTTACAGCTTGCGAAAAGAACGAAAACCTTTCATACATTCATTACCGTATTGCAGATGAAGTAATCATTAATACAGTCATTACTGTAATTATAATTAAAATATGCCCTAAAAATTTTAATGTATTGTTAAATATATTAAATTACACATTAAAATTATTTAATAATTACTTAATGTGTATAAATTTCATTAGAAACTTTTAACTTTCATATTAAATGCTTCTTTAAAAGTATTTTGTGTATTATTTTTTAATATTATAATTGTTTTATTTTTTAATTAATATATTTAGAATCTGATATAGTGTATAATATGTACAGTACAGTACAGTGAATAAGATATTCTATAACTATACAGCAAAATAATATAACAATAACATTTTTAATAACATAAGAAACCCAATTTACTTTTCATTACATATTAATTAATTGAAACGTTTTTTAGTTGTCATTTAATAAATAAATACGTTATAATTGAATTTAGCATACTCACTGATTAATATCAACTTCTTTCTTTCGTTTCGCTTCTTCTATTAAATTATCTACCAGAGTTTCTGTACATTCTTCTATTAATTTTGAAATCTAAATAACGATTACAAATTAATTCATCAATTATAAAAATGTATTATATAAATAACAAAAAAATGTTAATTTACTTTGTATTTTAGAAAATATTAAAAATGTTGTACCGATTTTAATTTACACGAAGTAAAAGCTGGCCTCATGATATTTCGTAGATTCCTCCATTTTTTTCCATTCTGCACATAAAGTCGTTTATCCAAAATTGGATCCCCAAATTTTAATTTCTAGACAAAAATTAATTTTTTTCTTAAATATAACGATTGAAGTTAGGACATCTAGACACTAAAAATCATATAATTTAGGATTTTTATAACTATTTATATAAATTTTAGTACCTAGATAGCTAATAATAATGAAATTAAGTATTTTAGAAATAAATAATAGGAAATAATGTTTATAAAATTAAAGAAGATAAATGAAGAGCTTTTGATGAACAGACAGATTACTCGAGCTTTTAATTCTTAAATACTGTATTATATATATTTCATATTAAATTATATTTTTGCTAAATGAATGAGAAAATTCCATTAAATAAATTTATAATAACTATGCTAAATATATTTATATACATGATATGTTTATTGATGAGTGTATGATAGGGGTGCCAATTAATAGGCGCATTACTAATATAATTAGTACATATAAGTAATAATTTAAATGCTTATTTAAAAATGCTGAAAAATAATAATAGTGTAATTTAATCTCTTATATAGATAATTACAAAATTATTTTGTAATTACCTATTTAACTAATTAAGTATAATGATTTAATTATATTTACTGAAACATTGAATATGACTTTAAAGTGTAATATAAGTGTATAAAACACAAATAAAATAATAATTAAGGATATCAGCTAGAGGAAAAAGATAAAGGTTTTGAAAAAAAAACTTACTAAACAACCTTTCCAATAATAATGTAATTAATAGTCTACAAAGAAGTTGCTTGATTACATAATATTTTAATAATTTCTTGAACTTTTTAATAAATTTATACCCTATTGAATATTTCAGCAGGGTATAAATAATTAGGAAGAGTACGGAATATTTCAGTAGGTATAAATAATACATAAATAATTTCATAGGTTATGAATAGGTTATTAAAAGACTGACTCCAATACTTAAAACGTTCAATAAAATTAATTGTTAGAAGTGTTGCATACGTTGTTTACAATAAATTGGTGTTTATATTAATCAGTTCCACGAAAAAAAAATATTAATATACCCTTTGGCTAATATTATAAGTAGCAATTATATACAGAAACCTGTTTGAAATAAATTTCTGGTTCAGATGTATAATGTAACAGTCTGTTTTGGTTTTATTCTTCTACTTTGATTTGTTCGTAAGTTAAGAATAAATAAATCAAAACTTTTAAAAATTAAAAATTAATTATTAAAATGAATTTGTATAATTAGTGTACTTTAAAGCTTATTTATATTGAATATTAATTGCTAACTTGAATCAGTTTAACCTGAATCTAGATACAGATTAAAGTAAGATATTTGGGACAGTTCTACCTGTCATCTGAATAATTGTGGAGGGAATTTTTATTTAAAGTTAACAGAAAAATTCTATTTTTCTTCCTTATTTTAGAAAATTCCCTTTGAAATTATTTATATAATCTAAAAAATTGCTTTATTGTGTAGGTACTTCTAATTTTTTTCTTTTTTAATTGTAAATTTATAAAAGTTTATGCAATTAATAAATATATAAAAACTTTTCTTCTGTGGTTCATTTAGAGTACATGCATTTTCCTTAAAGAATAGATTTTCCACAAATTAATACCTTGCGGAATTGATAAATACAACACCCTTGAGCAATTTTATCACGTGATAAAATTGCTTAAGGATAATTAATACATTAATTTAGTCTTGCGTAAACCGATGAACTTAAGAAAAAATTCAACCTTGTTAATATGTTTTTTTTGAAAAAGCTATAACTTAAGAAAGTCTAATTATTATTTCGATAGATAAATAAGAATATCAATAAAAAAACCAATTTAAAGCCCTGTAAGTACAGTACATTATCAACTTTTTGAAGAAATTTCATTCGTTCGCTTTAATACGTCTATTTAGATCATACGTTTCCTTAATTCTGTTTTTCTTAGAAACTTGTACAGTATTCACTTACGTATTCTGCTTCGAAATATTTTTGATTTGTAATACGTATATATATAAATTGTTCCGGTTTATTTAGTTCTCCGAATTCTGTGAATTTCTCTATAAATTCTATTTTAAATTTATTCTTTATTTTCCGATTTCTAGTCTTTATCGAATATATTATTTCCTTAATATTATACAATATAACCAGTTTATTTTAGTTGTTTATTCAAATTCTTTTAATATCAAGGTTTTTTTTCTCAAATTTCTGTTTAATTTCCCTCGTTAAACTATTTCTTAAAACGTGCAAATATCACGTAACAAGATACTACTCTTCAGATTTTTTTATGAATATATTTAGAACTAATTCAAAAGTAAGTAGACCTATCAATGGACGAGTGGGTAACTCCACTGAACACTGATAATTGGTCTTGGGTTTACCCTCCACCAACAAGGTTGATTCTGGTCTGAAGTTTTCCAGGAAGGTACAGAATGTTTTAAATATTAATTATGTTAATATATTCAAACGACTTATCTCCTTATTCGATACCAAGGCTCTGTCCTTAATACCATTACTTGATTTTATGATCAATAAGATTGCTCACATTCAAATAAATATATTTCATTTTATCAACTAAAATGGCTATTGTGCTTTAAGCATTACGGGTAAAGAAACAAATTGCCGTAATGTCTAGCCTAGTACTGTAAAACGACACTTTAAAAATTATAAAGAACTGTAAAGTAACAATTTAAAATAAACTTTTATAGGTTTAAATCACAGGTTAAAATAGTATGACTCTCGGAACACGTTAATCTGGCCCGCGAACATTACTTATAAATGATAGAAATAGGCCTACTTTTAGTATACATGGAATATCTGTGGCTCGCTTAAGACTATAGGATTAATGGGAGAAAGCAACGAAATACGTGGGAGATATACTAAGTGGAAGTACCATTTTTTACCGAAAACTAAGCTTTATGTTTTCTTTAGATACGTTAATAAAACATAAAAAACTTCATGAGGACATCCCATTAGTCAGACTCGAACCCTCAACCAACTCTTAGTGTTCAGTAGTTTTCTCTATTCGATTACAAATGGGTATGACTCGGCTACCTACGACTCAATTTGGCCCGACAACCGAAAGCCTTAGCACTGCTGTAAATAAAAACATTTGACGCTTCTATGCCTTTAATTTATAAATAAATATTTAGCTTGAAAAATTTATTAGACGTCTATTTTTACTAATTTTACCGATAAAAAAATATCAAAATATCATATTTACGATGCATTTTTTTAACTGATTACCTTAATTGAGGCAGTCAGTTAATTAGACAATCAGTCAACCGATGCAATTCCTAGTCGAGGAAATCAAATCTTTAGAATCATTAATATTAGATGAATATAGTTAATTCACAAAGTTATATTACAAAGTACTCCGAATCAAGGATATTTTTAGAAATAATTTGTAAAATATCTAAATATGTTTTAAAGAGAATCTGTCTTAAAAAATATTTTAAATTTAGAAACAAAATTAAGATTTCTATTTAAAATGATGCTTAAACAAATTAAACATTGTATATCTATTATTAAATCTTTCCAAAAGGAAATACAGAGAAAAATAATTATTATTATCTAAAATTGGGACGTATTATATATTTTATTGCATTTTATTTTATTATTTTTGTCCTAAAAATCATATCAAACTATTTTTATTTAAAAAATACAAATAAATTTACATCTAAAAGTTGTCTTGAAAATCTGTGTATTGAAAATTTTATAAAGAAAGAAGTAGAGACTTAGAGTGTATATTACTTGAGTTTACAAGCATTTCGAATGAAAGTAACAAGAATAATCTTAATAAATTTATATAAAAAATTATTAATACAAAATTGTTTGTTTGTTCTTACCCTTTGATTGGAGAAAACGTAAAAATCCTTCAACAGTATATCCTTCAATAATTCAGGTTCTGCAATCATTAAAACCGGAGTAGAACCTTCATAAATTCTGGAATATTTATATCAGAATGTTATCTTTAAAAAATAAAAAATATTTTATTTTATTAAATAAGATATGATCTAAAGCACGAAAAAGTATATTTAATAAAAAGATACATATTAAAAAAGAAAGAAACTCAAGATAAACATGTGATTGTGTGGTAAAGTTTTATAAAATATAACTAAATTTTGAAAAAAAGATTACTGCATTAAAGTAGTAGTCTATATTTTTAAATATATATTTCTAAATGTCATAATTTATATTTTATATTTGTAGTATTTTTAGTTTAAGTCATATTACAAGTATAATAAAGTCATATTTATATTAATACTAAATACAATAAGTCTTATTTATATGATAATTAACTCATGTAAATATAATGATTTAGTTTTATTTAAGTTTGCATTATTGTTTTAAATTTATATATATATATCATTTTAATAACTATAATTCATAATTTTTATATTATTATTATATCTATATTTAGAGCAATT